CATTTTTTATGTTTAAAAAGGGTTTGACATGTTTTACTGATTAACCCAAACTCACCAAGTACAATAATTGTCCACTGTGGTTTTGCGTTGTCATTTTTGTTAACACACAGAGCTTCACAAGCCTTTAGTTACCAAGGAATTAATTCCTAAAACTACCTGACATCCCCTGTTTCCCCACTCCGCGAAGTTTTGGTAAGAAAATGTTTTATTTCTTATAATAATATTATTATCAATGTTACTATTTCTACTGACAGTACCATCATAAAATTAACCATATGCTGCAGGGGAAAATGATGTGCTACTTTTTTGTTCCTCTTTTTTTTTTGTGAAATGTTTCTGCATATAGATGGCTCTGCAAGTGCTTAGCTACAAAGTGTACCCATCAATTAATAAAGTTAACTCACAGTGGGCATGACATGTACATACATGCCATGCATGTTGGCAAAGGGTTAACAATACTAATTGTCATAAAAATAGAACCTTTTTTTCAGAAAATCTAAAGAACTGGGTAAACAAGCAAGATTAGGTAGACTTAGTACCTTACTCCTTGATGTGGAGCCATCACTTTGTAGAGACAATCAATAAACTAAATCACTATGAACATAACAATATGTCCTTGTGGTGTCAGTGATTGTAAGTGAATAAAATTATTACATGTTGCATGGTAGCAGAAGTTTTGGCTTGTTTGTTTTGCTTAAAATATGATTTACATCTCTGTTATGTGGACTATTCACCCTGTATCAGAACCAAACAAGTTGGTAAAGAGGCCTTGTAGTTTCTTTTCTTTGATTAATTTTGAGGAGGGAGACTTTTGTATGAAAACCTAAGCCTAACAGAAATTTTCCTGCTTTATAATTTTTTTTTATTCATTTTTAGTAATGATACCAAACTACTGTTTATACAAATGTAGAGTGTAATATCACAGAAAAGAGAGGTTTCAGATATTACAAAAAAAGAAAAAAAAGAAGGAAAAAATATGAGCTATGAGCAAAAAATTAAGATGCATTGCAAAAAAAAACCTTCATTCATTATAACTATAACTAAAAGCCGACTTCCACTTCCTTCTGATACCTATACATTTAATACACTTTGATAGCCATTCAAAATTGTTTTTAAGACATTCAATAAAGGTAACCCCTACTTCCTAGCTTCAACTAACAATTCATACCAATGTAATCATGTATTAAGAATACGAAAGACTGCAATTTTACAGATATAGAAAAAGAAAGGGGGGGGGGTTGAGGGAGAGGGGGGAGAGAGGGAGAGGGAGAGGGAGAGGGAGAGGGAGAGGGAGGGAGGGAGAGAGGGAGAGGGAGAGGGAGAGGGAGAGGGAGAGGGAGAGGGAGAGGGAGAGGGAGAGGGAGAGGGAGAGAGGGAGAGAGGGAGAGAGGGAGAGAGGGAGAGGGAGAGAGGGAGAGGGAGAGAGAGAGAGAGAGAGAGAGAGAGAGAGAGAGAGAGAGAGAGAGAGAGAGAGAGAGAGAGAGAGAGAGAGAGAGAGAGAGAGAGAGAGAGAGAGAGAGAGAGAACAACAACATGAAGCTGCATTTTCAAATGAAATATTGGTGCAATAAAAATTCCCTGACTCCCCTATGTACATACTGGAAGATGCGTAATCTATATCATACAAACACTTATCTAGTAACATTCCAATATTTTAGATACAAAATATGAAACTTCTTTCACAGTACAATAAAAGGTACATTTACGTATGTCATAGACAAGGTGCTAAACACATTTTTCTAGCCCCCTTTTAGCTTTTATGTAGCAAAATATAACAGGATTTTTCAAGTGGCCTCTACTACTTAATACCCAATCTAGACCAGGAGGGCAAAACAATATAAATGGCAGCAATATGCCAAGACCTCCATTAAAGAAAATGAAAACAGTATATGTCTTATCATTAGTAAAACATACCATACATACCAAACATCTTTAAATGTCTGCAGATGGGGACTGAATAATTCCAAGATTATAATGACTATGGAGGATTATGATTAAGTATCATTTTGCATACAGACTTGGTAAGAGAGTTTGTCAGACTATTTCAAGGTAATAAATATGCATGAAAATGTTATTAAGCTAATAATTACCCCCATCATCTCAGCTGAAACAAAATGACCAGTTACTTAGGAGACATAGGTGTTTACATTTGTTTTTATATTAACATCTTCATCCAACATGAAGGAAATAGACATGAAAGACTAGAATATAGAGAGAAATTATAAAAATGTAAATTCTAATAAAGATTAATGTGCTCACATAGGTTGCACCAAGAATGCACCACAAAAAAAAGAATAAACCTCTCATGCACCAAGCCTGTACCCAGAATTTATTAACTTCTAAAAATTTGTAAACATATCACCCTGGCTTCCAGTCACTAAAGGGTAATGGACGTCAAGTAGTTTTTATACACTTTGTCATGGGCAACCTGCCCAAACAACATTTCCTTGGCCCAGGTCAGGCTATTTAAGATGCTGAACACTTGTAAGCAGGGCAATGGATGAAGTACCATTAAAGCTATAGTCAATGGGAGGGAATAATGATAATCTTAATAAAAACAATTCCTGAAAATCTTGAATAACCGACTAAAAAATAAAGCTACAAACAAGAAACATTAAAAACGGATGATAGATCTGCTTTATAAGACTGCAAAACTTGGCTTTTAAACAGACTTCATTTCTATGGGAGTGGTTTTGTGTGAGCACAACAGGAGTTAAGAGTAGGAGGAGGAAGCAAATAGTCAGGGTACTATACAAGTTGCTTCCTCTCTTTTAACCCTCAAAGTAACAGGTTTCTCATTTTGCTCAAATGGAGACTGATTTAAGTATTCAGTTTAGTCAGTCTACAAGTGCAAAGTCTACACAGAAGTTTTGGCACTCTAAACAAAAGAGTAAATAAATCAAATAATTTCAAAGAAAATGCATACCCTAACCAACTGGGTATGCAGCTACTCCCATAAGATTTCAAGTTACAAAAGATTCTCTAAGACAAATGATATTTAAAATAAAATGAAATTCTATTCATGACATTAATCATAGCTTCAGCTGCAAGTTACTTTGATGCTTCCCCCAACAATATAGACACACAGCAGCCATCATTATATGTATTTTTGTGTAATCCAGCCTAATATTCAAATACCTAATTATAGACATATTAAACAATGAAGTAGGCTTACTGTTTGTTCTTTAATATTCATGGTAACAAGAGAACAGATGTAGCATAATGGGGGTACCATATCCTTGCTTTCCTGCCAGTGTTGTACTGTCAAGCTGCAGTACTTCCCTGACACTGTACGATATACTGCAGTGGGAAAACTTCTAAGAATATTCTATTGAATCTAAAATGATAATTAAAATATAGAGTTGGAATGTCACTTTTTGTTGTTCCAGGTACTGGAGTACCTAAATATTTAGCACATCATTTTATTTTCTTATATATCCATTTGTACTGTGCAGAGTAAGAAAGGATTCCTGTCAAAGAGAATACTAACATTTGATGTGACACACAAGAATGAGCCATAAGTAAGGATACAATGTGGCCCACTTTTTCACCTATTTGTCTGTATAACAGCTGCATAACCTAACCCCTATTACTCAACACTCTTCTTTTCCATCAGTTGGCAGTATGACCTGAGAGTGAAGTCATCGGACTGGCTTTAACAGTGCTATCCCCCACAAATAAATCATTTATCTTTGTAGAAAATAAAAAGAAGAATATAAGAGTTTCTACCTTCTCATGCTTGGTAATCAAAATGTCTCCTTTAAGCTTATTTCTATTTCTTTCTCTCAGTTTACTAATTACTGAACATCTTATATTTTGATTTCTTTTTGTTTTGTTTTTTTCTTGTTTTTTTTTTGTTTTGTTTTTCTAAGTATCAACAAAACTAGTACAACAATAAATGTATCAAATGATTATCTTAGTGCTAACATTAAAGTATACTAACAATAATAGTTCATTATGACAGACTCCAACACTTGAAGGCATCAGAAGAAAAACAAATAAAAAATAAATAAAAAAGTATTGTAGAAAATATTAAAAATAATTATATATGCAAAGGTTTTATGAAACCTGTGGCACTTAAGAAACTTCACTGATAAAGTTCTTTTGTTAAAACTCAAGCAACTGACCCATAGGACCCATATATAAATATATATATATATATATATATATATATATATATATATATATATATATATATATATATATATATATATATATATTAGAGGTATATATGTATGTATATAAGTATATATATGTATGTAAGTATGTATATGAACTGCAAGAAGTGAGGGAATCATTCTCAATATCTATCTTCACCCTGAAGTAAAAAGATCACCTGTGCTAATATATGACCTAATGGTAGCAGTCCATGAGTTCAATGAATGTCTCACTCACTCACTTACACTCCCTTACACTCACTCGCTCACACACTCACTCACTCACTCACTCACTCACTCACTCACTCACTCACTCACTCATTCACTCACTCACTCACTCACACTCACACACACACACACACACACACACACACACACACACACACACACTCACACGCACACGCACACGCACACGCTCACGCTCACGCTCACACTCACACACACACATACACACACACACACACTCTCACACACACTCACACACTCAAAAAAAAATAAAAAAATAAAAAAAAATAAATTCCCCATTGGGTGTTGAAATGTACCCAAGAATAGTGCCAGGTAAAAGTAACAAAAGAAAAAAAAGTTTACATCGTACAAATAAAAATAAAAATAAATTACAACACTAGTTCAAATAAAGTCTACTTCCTCTTCTTCTAAGCTTACTGAGAACTAGGAACAACTGACTTAGGCTAATTTTATGATAGCTCATGAAAAATTTCATTCCAATTATATCACCTGCTATAAAAAAATAACTATATATTTCTAAAATATTTCAGGTAACACAGGTAAACATTTTCTCTTATTTCAATGTACACACCTTTAAGAAGTAAAAAAAAAAAAAACTAGTCTGCAGTGTGTATATTCATGCTGTCCATAATTCTATCTACATATAAAATGAAACACTTTCACAATAGAAACAGAATAAAAAAAAAGACATTTTGAACTTTCGTCACCCATTCCTCATAATTCCCCAGTAGTAAAAAATATTTCCATTCCATTTCTATTGTGAAATGTTTTATTTCATCTGTATGTACATATTACAGTGTAACTATTTTGTTCTCTCCACTTTTAATAATAATAAAGAATAAAAAAAATCACAAAATTTATAATCATGTGTTAAATCAGTCATACTATCTTTCTCAATAATAAGTACACAACTGAAAAGAGTTAAGCCTCTGTGTTAAGTTCACCTGACCAATATTTCTTTAAAAATATCAAGCAGAATTTGTATGTATTTGAACCTCTCAAAGCCCATGAGGAATTGGTATTACCATGGACATAATGATAATGTGGGGGATTTCACTGTTAAACTTACATCCAAGGAAGAATTCCAAAAGGACTCTTCCGAATTCAATCGCTTATAGCAGTTATTCACACTGGTGGGACACACTTGTGAGTATCAAAATAGATTTTTGGAGACCCCAAATGTACTTGTAATCCCCATCTGTTAAATGTGTGATCCAATTAATACAATGAGTGGATACAAACTATTGCAGGAATGATATCAATTCCATTGCATAGATATTACCATTTCAATACTTTTAGTTGAATTAAAGATTGCAACATGTGGACTAACAAATATCCCTTGCAAAGAATGAGAGTGCTGCAGTTCCTTAAAGGCTGAAATCTCAACTTTTCATGTGATTTTCGAAAAGAATTTTAAAAAATGTTGAAGCCAAACCCTGAGAAATTAATGCCAATTATACTTCCACTAATTTCACTTTATTTAATCAGTATCTAGAATTAACCCAACTCTTACCCTAAACTGCTTATTTATGGCACTAAATTTTCTGTACACATCATTAGAAGAGCACAAATCTCTACACAGTCACATAATATCCTTAAAGTTATGTGGAGGCTTCCAGCCATTACTGCATTAACAAATGACAAGCTGTCAGTACAATCACTGTAGCCAGTCAAGTGCTAGAACTTTGAATATAACGACATTCTTATCAAAACTATATGTCGCCTGAAAACACAGATATCTAACATAATCTTATAAAAACACTCAGTAAACACTCACTCACTTCATGCATTTTGTCAAATTACTCTCACATATATATCTTGTCTATTTAGACTACATCTGGCAAAGGGATAAACAGTCTCTGAAAAAACATAACACATACGCTCAGGTTACAAAGAGTTACGAGAGTGTGCCGTAGAGCGAGTATTCCTTGGGGTGGCTGCTAAATGTGGGGCCCTGTCTCGAGTGGCAGAGCTCGGGGAATTGGACGAGGGAGGGTGTGGGGATATAGGAGAGTCCTGTGAAGGCCTCTCAATGGTTTGCTGTAGTGCCACTGGTGTGAGCCACTCCTTTGGTAAGCATCGCTGAAGGAATGGAACACACGAAGAGACATATGCCAGCCGGTTCACCCAGGTTGGAATTTCTCGTCCAACCAGAATCTGAAAGTGTCATTTGTTGCATCATTAAAACTTCTCCAACACTTAAGTTCTATTATTTCTAATGCCTATACTTATGAGCACAAACTAAAAATGACTACACATGGGGGGAAAAAAAATTAAGATTAAAAACAGAGCTTGGCTATTTCATCTACTTTGTGATTTCAAAGTAGAAACACAGTAAAATGTAGTTACTGACTGTATGTCTGAAAGATAATATGTTCCAATGCCTTCCCCAGCATTTACCATTCACCCCATAATACTATCCAACTTTAGTTTTTTATTTCACAGTTATTTAATACATATATCCTTAGGAACCAGAGGCTTAACTAGTGAGAAAAATTAAGACACAACTCTGAAGTAAGGATGTGAGTATATTAATGATTGAAGGAGACAAACATGTCCAAAGTTTGAGTCCAATGTCAGATGTGATATGGTCAAAATGTATGCCCACAATCTGAGTTGGCTTATAATGCCAGGAAACAAAAGCATCACAAACATGACTATGAAGTGAGTGTGAAAGTATGCCTATGCCTCTCAACTTGGCTTCATTTCCTGGCTTACTTAAATGACCACTTTGACTGGGTTTGGCTTACAGGACTGGCGCACACACTCGCGTGAGGTGATAAGACTGGATGCCTCTCCTTTACTTTTTTTTTTTTTTCTCTCTCTCTCTTTTTCTGTATAAAACATTTTTACTTTTTTGCCATTACCTGATGTCTATATTTGTCTTTTGATTTGCTTGATTCTGATGGTAAGAGACTGCTTTCCTAGCAAAGATTCCACGTAATCCCTCTAGGTAGTGTCTAACAGAATGTAATAATAATAACAACAAGTAACATCTTATTTGTTGTTTTTTTCATAATATTCATTTTCTATAATAAAACCTGTGCTGCCAGTCACAGCAGACAGGAATAGAACCCTGGGCATGGAATTAGCATCCTCCCTGGAGCCAGCACCCTTCCAGTCATGGCTCACAGATGGTACATTCCACATTCATTTATCAATGAAAATCATGCAAAAGCCCCTCCATAAATGCCCACTGAGACTAATCAACCACCAAGAGCTTTGTGCACTCGCGGCGAGTCATTCTCATCAACCAAGCCTTAACCCAAAATTCTCATGTCAGGAAGTTCCTATCACGCCGGCCCTCAGCCAAATTTTTCCAAGATGGCATGTTCTTAGGACCTGCCCCTCAAGCTAAAATATGACATGAGCAGTCTTGTTTAAGAAGTATTTCTAAATTGCTATTTTCTCAATGGACTTGCAAACTTGCAGGAAAAAATCAAAATACAATTATCATTGTACAAATCTTTTCCTTTTATCTCATAATATATGTCATAATACTAAATGAGTTTCTAAACTCTTTTACCATCCTTTCTTCTCAGTACTGTAGAATTAATTTCATGTTGCACTGTCCATGACACAACATATCTAATTTCTGTAACTTTGAGAGAACTCAACCTAATTTCTAATACTTCTACTGCACAAAAATCCTTTGGGCATTAGCAGTGCACTGGACCCTGAATTTTCGCATGACAAGGGCACCCATATATTTAGGTTGATGACACTATAAAAACAAACAACTCTACATACAATTTAAGTCAGAAGAGTTCTATGTAGTGAACAAAAAAATGCAAGAAACACTCTAAGATTTGAATAATTATAGAGTTACAGGGAGGAA